GTAGCGTTACTTACACTGTGCGACTAGTAAGCGCTACTCACTGAACAANNCTAGTCAGCTTTATTCACACTGAACAACTGGTCAGCTTTACTCACTGAACAATTAGTCAGCTTTACTTACTGAGCAACTAGTCAGCCTGGTTCACAGGGCAATTAGTCAGCTTAATTCACTGAGCAACTAGTCAGCTTTACTCACACTGAACAACTAGTCAGCTTTACTCACTGAGCAACTAGTCAGCTTAATTCACTGAGCAACTAGTCAGCTTGATTCACTGAGCAACTAGTCAGCTTAATTCACTGAGCAACTAGTCATCTTTAGTCACTGAACAACTAGTCAGCTTAATTTACTGCGCAACTAGACAGCTGTACTCACTTAGCAACTAGTCAGCTTTACTCACTGAGCAACTAGTCAGTTTAATTTACCGAGCAACTACACAGCTTTACTCACTGAGCAACTAGATAGCTTTAATCACTGAGAAACTAGTCAGATTAATTCACTGAGCAACTAGTCACCTTTATTCACTGAGCAACTAGTCAGCTTAATTCAAAGAGCAACTAGACAGATTTATTCACAAGCAACTAGTCAGCTTAATTTACCGCGCAACTAGACAGCTTTACTCACTGAGCAACTAGTCAGCTTTACTCACACTGAACAACTAGTCAGCTTTACTCACACCGAACAACTAGTCAGCTTTACTCACTGAGCAACTAGACAGCTTTACTCACACTGAACAACTAGTCAGCTTTACTCACTGAGCAACTAGACAGCTTTACCCACACTGAGCAACTAGTCAGCTTATTTCAATGAGCAACTAATCAGCTTAATTCACTGAGCAACTAGTCAGCTTAATTCACAGAGAAACTAGTCAGCTTAATTCACAGAGCAACTAGTCAGCGTTACTCACACTGAGCGACTAGTCAGCTTAATTTACCGCGCAACTAGGCAGTTTTACTCACTGAGCAACTAGTCAGTTTAATTTACCGAGCAACTAGACAGCTTTACTCACTGAGCAACTAGATAGCTTTACTCACTGAGCAACTAGTCAGATGTCTGTCTATGCTTATATGTTTTAAGGAATACGACGAATGTTTATGTTGATGCACTGCATATATATCCAGGATGGAGCATTGCGTTTAAATGATTTTTCAGAGAGATTTTCTGTTGCTGTGGATAGCTTTGAAACCTTTGTAATCTACTGAAAGATACAAGTGATCGCGAGAGGGTAATTTTCAGTTTGTTTCGTTTATTCTGTGTTTTGTATCAACAATAAAACTGAAGTAGTGAAGAAGACCTAATTTCAAGTTCAATATTGCTAGATTTCTAATCAAGCACTGATTATCTCATTTCACCACACTTTATGTCTTTTTTCCTACAATTCCACCAGTTTATTGGTACCAAATCGCTGCAATTACCCCCAATTGCCTCAAAATATCAAAGTACGATTTCTACCAACACAATATTATGATTGTGGCACGGTTGACCTTGGCAACAATCTCAAGACTTTTTCTTTAGTTTAATAATGGAAAAAAGCATATATGTTTATGGCCCTCTGCCCCCAGAGCAGCCACTGCATTTTTCTATCCGAAAGTCTAAAACTGAGATAAAAGCCAATGTTGTTCCTTCTTATTAATAATCGTCTATTCTTAATCATTTCATTATGTTCGTATTGCATATAATTAAGATTTTTAACCAATCATCAATGTTAATGTATGTACAGTCTGGATAATTCTCTTCTAATTTAGCTAATTATGAATTTATTATGGAAATATGAGACAAACTGGTATTTTTCAAAGTCATTTGAATATCCTACTTTCTATTCATACAAGTATTAGCATTTTGATTTTCATACATGAAATAAGGGAACCCATCTTCAAACCTGAAGATATGCATAAAATGAATTTCAATAAATTTGTAAAATCGTTACGTATGTTTTGGTGTATTATGAAATATTCATGATTGATATAAACGTGAAAATGTTTCGCCAATATGTTATTTTTGATTTCGAGTTTCGTTTTTCGGCTCGGATCGTTAGTACTTAGTTTATTTATTGATACTATCGACATAAACAATAGCTGATCTGAAGTTGATTTAAAGCGCATTCTGATAGACTGAGCTATATTGCTCACATTTGTATTCCAGAATAGGTCTGTGTTGTAGCCTACCTCCAAAGCTTTTCTTTCAGGGAAAACAGTCCTGACTTTTCAATATGTAAAAAAAAAACTGTGGAAATACGTTTACTTTGATGACAAAAACCCCCCAAACTTTTAGAAACCAATATGTTTTATTTATTTTTTGGAACTTTTGTTTAACAATTATGGTGTTAATTTGGTAGTTCGAATTTCACATCTTCAGAATTCCATCTTGACATATCCTTGCTTACTACGACCTGGAACATTATCATATATTTTTTGTCTTATTGATATATTATTAGAAACATTCTGTGGATGGTATACTCTAATACTCGAGCAGTATGCTTACTCTTCTAGACACCTGATACCACTTTGAAATACTTCATCATGTGAAAAGTTCATTAGCTGCGACCAATGTTTCGTCAATATGTTGTTTTAGATTTCGTTTTGCGTTTCGGATCACTGGTATTTAGTATCTATAATAAATGTCGAAATGATAATACTATGGATATAGATAGTTTTTATCTGTTAATTTAATATGTTTTGAGAAGTTTAGTTACGACTGTAAGATACAAAGACTGAAAGAGCGTAAAATTAAAATTTATATGTAAAAGCTACTGATCCATGAATCCAGATCAATTGCAAACGAAATTCATAAAAATGCGGGGAAAATTGTCCCAAAAAAAAAATTGCAAATCTCCAATTTCGATTTGTAAATGACTTGAATGAAACTGCAAGCTTGCAATGTATATATGTATATCGAGATCCTTATTTGTAATTACTGTTTGGAAAAGTTTTCTCTATCTTTGCAACCTTCGTTACTACAGAAAGTCACAACTGCATCGTAGGAGGATATTTTCAGTTTGTTCCATTCATTCTGTTTTGTATCAACAATAAAAATAAAGTCGTGAAGAAGATTTCAAGTTCAATATTGCTAGATTTCTAATCAAGCACTGATTATCTCATTTCACCACACTTTATGTCTTTTTTCCTACAATTTCACCAGTTTATTGGTACCAAATCGCTGCAATTACCCCCGATTGCCTCAAAATATCAAAGTACGATTTCTACCAACACAATATTATGATTTTGGCACGGTTGACCTTGGATGGATTAAATCTTAACAAAATCTCCCAATAATGTAAGAAGCTTTTAGCAAGAATCTCAAGACTTTTTCTTTTAATAAAGGAAAAAAGCATATACGTCTATGGCCCTGTCCGTCCGTCAACATTTCTTGTGAGCACTATAGAGACTACAGTTTTCATCTGATTTTGATAAAACTTGGTGAATTTGACATATTTTCGATGAACGGTTTTTGAGATTTTGCCCGTGACTTTGTTAAAACGCTTCGAAATTTGTTAAAAATAGTTCGTGAGCAGGATTGAAGCTACAGTTTTCAACCGATTCTGATGAAACTTGGTGTGATCATTGGAATTGATAAGATCTCGGACAAGTTCTAACTTGACGCATTTTTGATTAACGGTTTTTGAGTTATTGCCCTTGACTTTGTTAAAATGCGTCGAAATTTGTTAAAAATAGTTTGTGAGCATGATTGACGCTACAGTTTTCAACCGATTCTGATGAAACTCGGTGTGATCATTGGAATTAATATGATCTCGGACAAGTTCTAACTTGACGCATTTTCGATGGACGGTTTTTGAGTTATTGCCCTTGACTTTGTAAAAACGCGTCGAAATTTGTTAAAAATAGTTCGTGAGCAGGATTGAAGCTACAGTTTTCAACCGATTCTGATGAAACTTGGTATGATCATTGGAATTGATAAGATCTCGAACGAGTTTTAACTTGACGCATTTTCGATGAACGGTTTTTAAGTTATTGCCCTTGACTTTGTTAAAACGCTTTGAAATTTGTTAAAAATAGATCCTGAGCAGGATTGAAGCTACAGTTTTCAACCGATTCTGATGAAACTTGGTGTGATCATTAGAATTGATAAGATCTCAGACAAGTTCTAAATTGATGCATTTTTGATAAACGGTTTTTGAGTTATTGCCCTTGTCTTTGTAAAAACGCGTCAAAGTTTGTTCGTGAGCACAACAGAAGCTACATTTTTCAACCGATTCTGATGAAACTTGGTGTGATCATTGAAATTGATAAGATCTCGGACAAGTTTTAACTTGACGCATTTTCGATGAACTGTTTTTGAGTTATTGCCATTAACTTACGAAAAACGCGTCAAAATTTGTTTGTGAGCACAATAGAAGCTACAGTTTTCAACCGATTTTGATGAAACTTAGTGTGATCATTGGAATTGATAAGATCTCGGACAAGTTCTAACAAGAGATATTTTTGATTAACATTTTTTGAGTTATTGCCCTTGACTTTGTATACACGCGTCAAAAGTTGTTTTTTGCCCTTGATTAGAGCTGTTGTATTTGGGTTATTGATATTGATTTTAAAACAATTTGTGGAATTATTCAGCATAAATAACTGGCATATATATATATATATGTAATTGAATTCAAACTAATAAAATTTCTTCAATATGAGAATATTCGTATATACTTTAGTCACTAAAGACTGTTTTATTATTTCTGACAGCTGCCAGTGGGCGTATGTTACCTTGCATCGCAAGCTATCTTTCTTTAGTTTAATAAAGGAAAGAAACATATATGTTTATGGCCCTCTGTCCCCTAGAGCAGCCACTGCATTTGTTAATCCGAAAGTCTAAAACTGAGATAAAAGCCAATGTTGTTCCTTCTACGATATGATCGTCTCAAACCTTGAATCATTCAAAACCAACATTTGATAAAAAACGAAAAGGACTCCAAATATAAACATTTTTAATATGATAATATCAAATATATTTAGATACGTATAACAATTGTAAATTTATAACAATATCGGTGTTTAGATTGCACTAAGGTCTAATAAATTATGTTTCCATTCGAAAGCACCAAATATCTAACAAAACACAAAACATTCCAAATCACCCCCATCCCCCAACCCCGATTTCTCTCCACACCCCTCCCTTTACCCACACCCACCCACACTCTCAACACGACACACACATACACACCCGTTCATACTATAGGTTTCAACTTTCACAAATATTACACACCTCTCATTCACACATTCACACAATTTCAATCTCTAAATCGTCTCTTAATGACAAAAGCTGTCGGTATCATGTCCATCTTCCAATAAGCACATGTCTATACTTCATTCTATTCCCACTGACGTGAACTTCCAGTCAGTATATATTCCACACAGATAATAGGACTAGAGTATTACACTATCTACTCTTCGGTTTTGAAGCACTTGCAGGATCGGAAGAATCGCCTCATAGACTTTAAACCTCGTCTTTTCGGTCTAATAGTTTGAACTGAAAAAAAAATGAAAAAAAAAAAATTATTGAAATTTAAAGTCAGAAATATTAAACGTTATCCAAATAAACACGATTGGCCCTCTCCTACCCCATCTATGGATATTATCAGAATATAGGCCTACCCTTTACTCCAAATCAGATGCACTGGTACACATGTACAGCGACATCAAGCTTAGTTCGGGAAAATCATTAAAATAAGAAGTTTAAAGCCCTGGCATCTTACCTTCCTGCTCACAAGTAATAACACCATCAGTCTGTGTGGCTTTATCTTCTGTCCTCACAACTCTTTTGGTAGATTGTTGAGGAGTTGTTTTACCAGATTGTATCAAGCAGTCCAATTTGTCACTTGTTGCTCCATCAAGTTGACCGTTGTTATATTGTTGAGTATCGAACTTGATGCCTGATACTTTATCTACAATAGAATAGATTGGACCTATAACAATAGAAACACACGATGCATAACCTGATGTCTGATACAAGAATGTATCAAACCAGAATTTCTGTTCATAACAAAGTTTCGTACGGAAAAACACATATTTAACCCCATAGAGATTTGTTAGATTCGTGTCATTTTGGCCTCAGCGTGAACACTGATCGCCCAGAGGAGGAACTAAGATGATAAAATATCTATAGCTAAAGATAGACAAGTTGGTATAAAGGGTTCCTTTTATTTGTTCCTCCCGCCTAGTCTGATAAGATGCCCAACACAATAAGAGAGCTTTTAAAATCTAATTGCTTTTTTCTTATTTTGGTTCTGACAATTATAACTTACATTGACAATGATCTTAATATCTAAATGCAATAAATTGAATGGGCCTTTAGTTTTGATGAATGTAAAAAAAACGTTCTTTACCTTCATATTTGGTGATCTTTGAAATTCCTGTAAACTGCAAGAATCTTTGGATAAAGCCAGCTCCCTCTTCGATCGGTTTTTGGGTTGTTTTGTCTTCCAAAAATCCAAAAAACTCTCGTTCGTAATATTGGTATTCCTCCACTGTCATTGGCGGAGTAGAATAATCAGGGATATCACCAAAACAATATGGCGGGCGGGACATATATTTCTTGGACATTCTGCAAAAAGAAAAAAAAAATTCAATTTTCAATGAAATCCGGTTGTCTTTTAAGTTAGTTAAGTCTCTCATCGCACTGCTTCCAGTAGATTTCAAACAATAACCAACTATACCGTATAAATCAAATAAACATATTAAGATAATATATTCAAATTTTAAATTTTGATTATTAAGATTTCTTTTTCATCAATTTCGGCAAACTGCATACTCTTCATTTGCCTTGAGTTACTTATGGCCCTGATAAGAAACTTTCTGTGGGTGGTAATAATGCCACTTTTTGAGACAGTTACGACCCTTTTTTTCTCTTCATGAAGACAAAGACTGAAAGAGTGTGAAGATCGAAACGCTATAATTTATATAAAAGTTACTGTAATCCTTGAAATTTAACCAATTACTAACTTATTTAAAGGTGACATTGATGTGTGTCACTTAATTCATAATTTAAAACAGTTGCAAACGACATTCATAAACTAAGCGGGGAAAATTGTCCTAAAATTTAAGCAAATTTCCAATTTCAATTTCAACTTGAAATGAGATTGCAAACTCTAATAATTACAATTTAGTTGATATAATCTTGTCACGAGACTAACAGCAGTGTTTTCAGGTAAAATGGTTAAGTTTGTAATAGTATCTCACCTTAAAATTCCGAAAAATCCTCAAAAAATTGCAGAGAAACTATTAAACACGTCTTTTCAGCAATGAAAAATGTTTCGCTTGTGACGTCATATTATTGTATTATGTATTTTCATTATAACGTCATAATAAAGACAGATTATTCTATTTTTAACGTTTATCCCCTCCCCTTCTTTAAATTTCTGCTTATCATTAATTTATCTGTTTATGAGAAACATTTCTGGTATTTGAGCTACAGGATTTGTTTTTAGCCCGGTTAATGAGTAATATTGTGCACAGCTCACAGTCGAAATTTGAGCACTCCAAGTGTGTCCAGAATTTTACGCGTTACGACTCCGCCATAATATAGAAAAGACATATAGGCCTTTAGAAATAGAAAGTGAAAGTTGTAGTTTAGGGTGTATATGAACGGATTATACGATTTTTCTGAAGGGTAATTACTTATTACATATTCAAGACCCAAATCAACCTCCGAGAATGGAGAAGTAAAGATCTGACGTTGATTATAAACACATTCTGATAAACTGGACGACGTGGATTTCAGCATAGGTCAATGTTGTAACCTAACGTTCCTAATGTTCTTAAAAGGAAAATAGTTGCGACTTTTCAGTATGTAAAAAAACTGGAAATAAATAAAATATATATTTTACAGGTCCAAATAACGATTCATCACGAAAATCGCCATATCATTTCATCAGAAAATTTCATGTCTTAGATCGCTGGAAGTGGAAATGGCGTCTATCCTACGGGCTTTTTCTATCTTATAAATTTCTCTTGCTAGGACGTGCGGATATCCCATCACGCCCGAGGAATGAGTAGGGTTTGATTTTTCGGGCTTAAAGATGCATCTCCTTAAATTTTAGTGTCAAATTAAGCAAACTATTTGATTAATTTGTGTTTCTTATTAATAATCGTGTATTCTTAATCATTTCATTATGTTCGTATTGCATATAATTAAGAATTTTAACCAATCATCAATGTTAATGTATGTACAGTCTGGATAATTCTCTTCTAATTTAGCTAATTATGAATTTATTATGGAAATATGAGACAAACTGGTATTTTTCAAAGTCATTTGAATATCCTACTTTCTATTCATACAAGTATTAGCATTTTGATTTTCATACATGAAAATAAGGGAACCCATCTTCAAACCTGAAGATATGCATAAAATGAATTTCAATAAATTTGTAAAATCGTTACGTATGTTGTCATAAATTCTTGATAAAATAAAACACTTTAAATCCATTTTTATATATGTATACAGAAAAGACTGAAAGAGCGTAAAATTAAAATTTATATGTAAAAGTTACTGATCCATGAATCCAGATCAATTGCAAACGAAATTCATAAAAATGCGGGGAAAATTGTCCCAAAAAAAAAAAATTGCAAATCTCCAATTTCGATTTGTAAATGACTTGAATGAAACTGCAAGCTTGCAATGTATATATGTATATCGAGATCCTTATTTGTAATTACTGTTTGGAAAAGTTTTCTCTATCTTTGCAACCTTCGTTACTACTGAAAGTCACAACTGCATCGTAGGAGGATATTTTCAGTTTGTTCTGATGTTTTGGTATATTATGAAATAGTTATGATTGATATAAATACTGTTTGTTTATTCTGGTTTGGTTTTACGGCGAATTACGGTTTATTTAAAACGTACTCAGATAAACTGAATGATATTGATCACATTTAGTTTCCCGAATCGTGGCCTAGCCTTTCTTTCTAGGAAAACAGTCCCGACTTTTCATTATGTTTAGTACTGTAGAAATACGTCTTATTTGGTGAAAACAAAACGCGAAACATCACTGAAAATATCTGAATAACGAATTAGAGATGTATTTTATTGATCAAAAGGAAATCATTTGAAAAACCTAGAAAATAATTGCCATATGTAGCGAAATTATGACCAAGTTAAAAACATGTTCAATTCTGTTACCTTATCGCACGATGGGATAAAAGTTATTGGTCGTATTGGTTCAATTTAAGCGGTATCGCATTGCTTTTGGTTTTGCTGAGCTTCGCCTTCGAGTATTCAATGGCCCGCCTTTCTCTTTCTCAGGCTTTCTAACTCGGTTATAATCCGATCATTCTTTAAGCGTAGTAATAAGGTAGTCCAGAATTGCAAATCGTCAGAATTCCATCTTGCTATATCCTTGGTTACTACGACTTGGCACAATATTATTTTCATATATATTTTTTTCTTATTGATATATTATTAGAAACTTTCTGTGGATGGTATACTCTAATACTCGAGCAGTATTCTTACTCTTCCAGACACCTGATACCACTTTTCATTATAAAATACTCATACTCTTGTGAAAAGTTCATTAGCTGCTATTAATTTTTTCGCAAAATGTTGTTTTAGTTATGCGGTTCGTATTGAAAGTACTTGGTATCATATAATAAATGTCGAAATGATAATACAGTACTATAATACTATAGATATGGATCGCTATTTATTTTTAATTTCGCAACGTTTCAAAAGGATACCCTAGTTACGACTGTATTTTGATAACACATTGTCACATAGACTGAAAGGTTTTCAACTCCGTAACGCTAAAATTTATAATATAAAAATTACTATAACTCATGAAATTTTATCTTGCTAAAATGTGACGTTGATATTTTAACTAAATTCAAAATCTAGAACAATTGCAAACGAAATTCATAACAAAAGATAATCCCAAAATGAAATTGTAAATTCTTAAGTGACTTGAAATGAAACTGCAAGCTCTAATAACAACAATTTAGTCGGTATAATAACGTCAGGCCACTAACTGTAATGTTTTTACTTAAAATTGTTAAGTTTGTAATAATATCTCACCTTAAAATTCAGAAAAATCCTAAAAAACTTGCAGAGAAACTTGTAAGAACGTATTTTCAGCAATGACAAATGTTTCGCTTGTGACGTCGTATTATTGTATTATGTATTTTAATTATAAAGTCATAAACTATTCTAATTTTAACAATTGCATTCCTCCCCCCTCCTTTCGCCGTTTTTTTGTATTCCTACTTATCATTAATTTCTCTGGGAATTATTTCTGGTATTTTTTCCTCTCACAGCTGGTGATTGTCCACTGTCCATTGGCAAGGAAGTCATAGGAAGCATAAATCCTTAATAGCGAATGCCCTGCTCGGCCAATATTTAAACGCCAGACTGCGCTGCAGGTAGTGAGAACAAATCCCTACATTCTTTGAACGCTATACAAATGTAGCTCACATTTTGATTCCAGAATAGGTCAGTGTTGTAGTCTACCACCCAGCTTTGCTTAAAAGGAAAAAACTGCAAACTTTTCAAAATGTAAAACAAACTTGTGGAAATAAGTACTAATTGGTGAAAAAAAACCCTGAAACACCAATGAAAATATCTAAAACCAATTTTTTTTAGAGACATCTTGTCTACTATATACTTCTACGGTCGGGTGGTATCTTGGCCTTAACTTCGTACGGTCGGGTGGTATCTTGGCCTTAACTTCGTACATTCGGGTGGTTTTTTAGCCCTCGCGTACAGTACAAGATGTATGAGTGAGGTGAGAATATTGGGCATATGAGTTCTACTGCAGTATACATTATGATATCAAAAAGATTATTTCAATCAGACCTAATTTCTTAAACTAAGTAACATCACTGAAGATGTTTAGCCTTCAGCCTTTTCACAATTCACTCACAATACCAGGCTATTTTAGTTTGACTACAAACAATAGCAAGACTCAAAGACTTTCAGGAATTGAAGAATTGGTACCGAACTATTTATCAGCAGAAGACTGAGTTTTTAATCAAAGTTTTCTTGGAAGCATTCAGGCTGAAGATCTCTTCAGTGTTTTGAACTATGTCAATAAAAGGAAAGTATAGAAGCGTCAAGTGGCATTCTAGTGTCATTCAAGACTCTCAAGTTTCGCCTTTTCGTGAATTCTATTCCATATTGGAGTATATTTTTTCAATGGGAAGATTGAAGTATAATTATGTAGTATTGGGTTCCAGGGGTCGTGTAACCCTCCAGCTCAAACACCGTTATCAGCTACACTGAAGACTGGACAAATATAATCGTCTATAGCTACATTAATAAGTTCGAGACCTTAACATTTGTGGACGTCACATTTGGAAAGTAATATACGAATTTTGACGTTTTTTCTGCAGATTCGACAGAAAGGGATACGCGAATAATAAAGTTGAATTAAAAACCATTTTAAAACAATGGGAAAACTGTAAGGTTTGCTATCACTCTTATCTGTGTTTATTCTTTTTCGATCATTTTGTGTATAAAGGCAATATTTATTTTAAATCCAAAAATTCTTTCTACTGAAGCCTGAAAATGTTTATATTTGGAGGATTTATGTTTTAAACCATTGTTGTTGATTGCG